TTTTTCCTCTCCACTGTCGCTACAAGCATGCTTAGTATGAGGGATTGCTGAAGAGTCAATGAGTCGATGCAATCAGCTGGTTTTCCTTAGATAACAAAAACTTTGAATCAATCTGACTGGATTCTCTGTATTTTATGACTTTATTCTGGAAAAAAAATAATCCGTCGTAGGATCGTGACTTTTACACAAATAAATAATATAATAAGTCATTTAATCGATGCAGTCAACTGGTTTTACAAAGAAAACTTTCAACCAATGACTGTATGATCTAATTGAATTGTAAAGTGCCTTGAGATGACGCGTGTTGTGAATTGGTTCAAAGTTATAAACTGAATTAAATTCTACACCTTTTGCTGTATTCAGTGATGAAAGAACATTAAAAAAAAAATGAAACTTGGCAATGAAACATGACTTTTACGAAAGAAATTAACCTAAAACTAAAGTTTGTGTAAAAACATGACTAAGTCGCACTGCCGACTGTTGATTCACAGCACCAATTGTTTACATTTACATCTGCATAACATACTTTAATATGCAATTACCTTCCACTGCACTTTAATTTAGATAGCTTCTGGCCAAACTTTATTTATCCAATTTATAGTAAAACCCATCTGTATATTATATTCGGTACATATCCAGCTGTTAATTTAGTTCTTAACACTAGTGATCTATATATTATATTCATTATTTATAATAGTATTCATCTCTATACTCATACAGTAGAACCCATGTCCTGTATTTATGGAACCATTATTTATCCTGCACTTGCTGCTATTGCACTTCTGGTTAGACCTAAACTGCATTTCATTGCCTTGTACCTGTACCTGTGTAACGACAGTAAAGTTGAATCTAATCGTCTAAAAAAAGGAGCAAATTAGGGCTGAAAATAACGATTTATTTTGCAAATCGTTGGATCTGTCCATTTTTTTCCGACTAAAACTTCAAATAGCCAAAGCATCCTTAAAAAAATGCTTTTTACAAAATTCAACTAGGTGAAACTAACTTATATTCTAGAGTTCTGGATGGAGCATATTGATGGACCAAAAACATCTTAAATTTAAAATATTTAGAATATTTTATTTTACAATTACTGCTCTAAGTGGGTCGCTCTGTCAGCTAAAAGCATATTTTACAGTCTCTATTCTCCAGTTAACGATTAATCAAATAAAAAATTATATGACCATTATTTCAATAATTGATAAATCTGATCAATAGTTTCAGCACTAAAGCAAAAGTGACTTATCACTGAATCATGATTACAAACAAGTTGCTTTTATTTAAAATATTTATTTTCTACTTGTTACAGAAAACCAGTGCAATAAAAAAGTGTAAAACCCCCCCGATACGGAAAGACAATAGTAATGTAATAGATGTTTGCAAAAATACATTTATTTCATTGACTTTGTTATAGTAGAAATGAAGAAACGTAAAGGTGACAGAGAAATGGAAATCCCACAACCAATCTAAATATTTGACTCATTAGATAATCAATCAATAAGAATATAAATTAAAATTTAAATTGTTTCAGTAATTCATTTCACCAAGTAGAAAACATTTTATTTATTCATGTCTTTATTTCTGTTTCCCCTCTTACAGCTAATAATCATAAAATTCAACATAACATCAGACCAATAAGAGATATTTTAATACATTAAGGTTTATTTTAAATGGGATACTTTGAATTTGAAAAAAAGATTCTCATCGGTAGCGTAAAGACGTAGTGTGATCAAACGCTCAACTAAATCCTACAGAGTTTACATTCAGCCGAACTAATCAAACAGGACGTTTTAGCAGGAAAAGGCCTCCAGCTGCATCGCGTCACGCTGACGGTAATAAAAGCTGCAGCAGGGTCATCAGTGCTGATTAAGGCTTCATGTGAACTGAAGAGAGACGAGAGGTGATGCTTCTCCTCTTAAGGCCAAAAATAAACCCAAATTAAAATCTAAGTGTCAGTTTTTTTCCTGCCGCTTTGGTATAAACGGCTAATTTAAGTTGACTTTAGCTTTATCAGCGATATAAGAACCCGTAATTATTTTCTCTCCTTAATCACCATAAACTCTGCTTGAAACATTAGATCCCTCTACAATTTAACAAAGCTCTGCTTTATATGTTTATAAAGCTCATATCAGAGGTTTTCTCTCAGGAATTTGTTCTAAAAACAGGAAGGAGGAAAAATATGTTTAAATTAATCATAACCTGGAGGTTTACATAAACAATCCTTCTGAAATTGTCTATAAATTCATATTTGAACTGAAGTTTTTTTTTTTAGGACATCATGGTGAGTAAAGCTAAAGACTGCAAATAGAAAACAGTAAGTCTATGAAAAGAGGTGATTTTATCTTTCAAAACTATAACAAAAATGTTAATATAATGGCTAAACAGAGCGTTGAGTAGCATGGAGCTGTCCCATTGCTGAGCAGGAGGAGGTAGTTGGAGCCGTTTACTTTCTGATCGATTCTTCTGCTGAATAAAACAGATCATGTAGTTTGGGCATCCTCAAAGTCGTTCCTCGGGGGCCGCTGTCCTGCAGGTTTTGGAGGTTTCTCTGCTCCAGCACAGCTGATTTGCATTGATAGGTGATTAGATGGCTTTTGCTGAACTGTAATCGTCAGAATCAGCTGTGCTAAAGCAGACAAACCTCTAAAACCTGCAGGACAGCGGCCCTCCAGGACCGACCTGGTCCATCCCCAGGTGGGGATGCCTGATATAGATGTTAACTGAGGAAAATTACTAATTTCTACTGTTTTATTTACATAAACAAAGCTAGTTGAAAGAAGAACACCCACGTATAAATCTCTACTATGATGAGAGGTTAGCACAGCTTGTTGCTTGGACTGGGGGGAACCTCTGGACGTTTCTCAATTCACGAGAACGCGAGTACGTCGCGCGTTCTCGTCAAGTCCGTTCTTGGCGAGAACGCAGGAAGATCGGACTTGACGAGAACGCGCGACGTACTCGCGTTCTCGTGAATTGAGAAACGTCCAG